CCCACACCCACACCAACACGCAACCTTACATCCACACCCACACCCACTCCCTCATCCACACCCGCATCCACACCCACACCCACCCACACCCCACACCCACACCCACACCCCACACACACACACCCATACCCTGACCCACACCCACACCCACACCCGCACCCCACATCCACACCCGCACCCCACACCCACACCCACCCACACCAACACGCAACCTTACATCCACACCCACTCCCTCATCCACACCCGCATCCACACCCACACCCACACCCCACACCCACACCCACACACCCACACCCACACCCACCCACCCACACCCCAACATTGTTTAATACAGAATAATATAATACAAACTATTAATTCCATGATTTAAACTAAATTGAACGCAATATCATAAATTAAATGTCGAAATAACTTATGTATCATAATAATAAATTTAACATCATAAAAAATAAATATATAGTCAATGTCAAAGATATTAATTCATATCTAACGGTTAATAAGGCATTTAACTAAGCAGTTTATAAGAAATATAAATTATGTTGGTAATAATTTTAAATATAGCAATATAATCTAATAAATATTATGCATATATAACTTAAAAAACAAAAGCAATTGAACTTATATCTTTTTAACATCAGAATTCAACCAAAAACGTTTTCTATAAGTAAGATCAACACGATTTGTTGCTTAATTACTAATAACATTAATGAATCATAATTACTAATATATAAATTACATTAAATAAATTTCACTAAAATACAATAGTCATTCGCGCAATACTATAATAATAAATCAAAAGGTAAAAACATCGTATCATATATTTATAAAGTAACAATTTAATTAATGTTGTATATTTTATGTAACTTCATTGAGTAAAACAACTTTTAATTTTTACAATCAACTATTATGAACTAATCGTCTCTGTAAATTCTTAACATTACGTGTTCCTAATACGGGCGTAATTTCATTAATTGGAGATTCACCAAAATATTTACTCCATAATGTATGAAACTTTAAGGGAAATGCTTTCATACTCGAACAATAAGTAAAATGAATAAATAAAACTTTATCATAATCAATTACCACCTGTTCTTTATATGGTGTGTGTGTTTGGGAGTATGGTGTGAGTTTGGATGTATCTTCCCTTCCCTATACCCACCCACACACCCATACCCACACCCTATGAAGAAGCTATACGTTAATATGGGCAGCAAAAGACTATCTGGCTAGATATTGGAACTGGTACTCATATGTCACTAACTCGTTTATTAATAAAATATGAAACTGCCGAACACGTTTATGCAGTCGAAGCCTCTCGTGAAGCTTATTGCTTTGCAAAAAATCTTCGAGGACGTTTACCTGATGAAGAAAAACGAAAAATTTTCTTGTATGGTTGCTACTCGAAAAACATAGATTGGCATGCGCAAAATCCTCGACCGAATGCAATAATTCATGAAATAATTGGTTGTATATCATCAAATGAAGAATGCATCAAAGTCATGCATGACACTATCGAAAATCTGAATGGAGAAGTTTATTCATGTATTCCTTATAAAATAGGAACATTATGTATGCCAGTATCACGTCCGAAAATATCTATCATTTCGTCTTGGTGCTTATGTCTATTATCTTCCTCAATGAAAGTAATTAAAAACATTGGCATACAAGGAATGGTTAATCCACCTAAAGATGCTTTTCTCTGTGAAACACCACAATTTATTGAAGAATTCATATTACAAGATTATGTCAGAAAACCATTAGAAAGTCATAGATTATTCAGAACAAAATTTATTGTAGAAAAACGTGCGGCGAAATGGACTGGATTTCATTTAGCACCAAATGTTCTAATTTCCAAAGACAACAGAAAAGGAGTCGCTGAAATCGACGGGTTGAAACGAATGACTGATCGGCCAGTTCGTTATGTTCAAATGTATGATCATCTAAAAGCCATAGACCTAAAGCAAGGTGATGAAATACACGTTGTATTTGAATCAGAGCTAATTAATGAGTGTCCGACATACAGATTAGAAGCATGGATGAATAATAAATATCTACTACGTTCATCTTTCGCTTGGATAGGACCAGCACTTTATTAGTTACAAATATATCTTAGGCACTCTAATGCTAATTCTATATCATATTAATTAATAGCCAAACGAATATCTATAAAAACAATTCTTAAAGATTTGTATGATTCAAAATTTAGATTCAATCGGAAAATTGGCATAATTCAAGCAACATGATACTTTTCTGGAACTGAAGAACAAATTAGTTTTTTTGTAGGTGATTATTAAAAAAAGAACAATAATAACATTTTAACGTTGAATTTGAAGCATGCATTTCTATTAACATATTTCTACTGCTAATACTTGGAATTTCAAATATCTCATGACAGAATTGCCAAAAAACATTTTGCATTTCTTCGTTTTGAGCGAGAAACATGTATTATGACAACAAAAAAAGACTATTACATTAGAAACAATACAAATAAAAGCTATGATTAATAATTATTAATTATATTTCACCTAAATCAATTTTCTCACAAGTTAAATACCAATCTGAATACTTTATGACCATTTATTTTTCTTTCTATAGACTTCGTTCCAACCTCTCGGTACTTCATCATCACTAAGACCTTCTTCATCTGAACTAATATCATTATCGCTGACAAAAAACAAATCGTGCCATTCTTGTATACTCGATGAATCCGAATCAAAATCTTCATCATTACCATCCGTTTTCTTCTCGACTGTATGTGCTAGAGTCACGGTTCGGTGCCGTTTTAATGGTCGTGAACGTGTGTCATCATTATCATTTTCTTGGATATCGAAGTTATCCTGATTGGATGAACATTCAGAAGGATTCTTTCTTGAAAGATTACTACAATTTGTTTGAGATGGTTCTTGATTAAATATTATCTTTTCATCAGAAGATGATGGTAAAGAGATAGATACTTCGTTTTGTATTTCACAATACCGTCGTTTAGACACTCGAGGAATTTCCTCAGTAAATAATTTTGATTTGCGAACATCGTAATCTGGTAGAAGAATGTAATTTTCTTCTGGTTTATTTTCCCATTGTTCATAACAATCAATTAACCATTCAGGTGTGACAACTTTTACATTGTTTTCTAGAGCTCGTTGAACTTTCATTGTTTGTTTACCAGCAATAAGATGTGTCGTTCGAATGGTACCGTTCTCATCGAATTGTAAATCATGAGTAACGATTGCTCCCATCATTTTAGCTATTTTTGTTGCACGATGTTTTTCAAATGGATAGTTTGTTGGCATTAAATCAGTAAAGCATAGAGATACAGAATTGAGTATTTGTCGACGAATATTAGGCATAATTTCTTTCAAAGTTGGCATGATTCCTTTGTTATGTTGAACCCATTGATCATAAGCTGTATAAAATTTCTTATGAATACGTTTTAAAATGCTTTCCAATTGCTGTAAATAGAGATCTGAATCTACAACTTCATCAGAATCATTATGTTCTTTCAATCTTTTACTTAAACGATCGCTTGTCTTCTTAATTTTATGTTTTCCACCTGATTGATATATTTCTTCGTTGGTCTCGATTTGTGTTTGAGAGATTGATAACGATGAAAGACGAAGACTATTAATATCACCAACATCTTTGAACCATGTATACGGTTTGACCTGAACAAGATTTGAAGCATAATTCCAGACATCATCACGATCGTCTATAATACAGACTAATGCGTCACTGTAAGGAAAGAGAGTACTCAAATTGGCTGTTTTGTCTGTTAAATTGAGACATTGATCGCGAGATAAGATTCGATGAGAAAAAAATATTCCATTCGGATCAATTAGTTTAACTATAGTATTTACATATGGTCGCTCACCAAATGTAACTATATGAAATTGATAGAGTGGTCGAAGATTTGTAAGAAATTCTTTAACGCCTGAACGTAATTTTGTATAGAATGTTTGTGACATTGGAGTATTTAATTGATAAGTGATTATATCCGATGAGGATGGAGAGTAATTTTTAGAATTTGTTGTATGAACTAGAGTCTGATCAAGATCAATCAATAAATGAAGTTTACGTTTCCGAAGAAGAAAGTTAAGATCTTCATTATCATATCTTAAAGCTTCTTCAGCAGTAATTTTTACTTTTGGAAATGAAGGTTCCATTGATATGACAGCTTTTCTACATGTTGATACAGTATTTTTCAATTGATTCAAATCAATACCACAATCACTACATAGATTTTTGAAAGTGATTGTATGTTGACATTCTTCATACTCCAAGATGATTGAATCATAGAAAAGAATGTCCAGTTCATGAACATACAATTTAGTAACTGTACCAGATACGGGCGACAAAAAAGATTGCCGTTGACCGTTCATCTCAACCATTGTAAAAATTGAATCATTTTTTATTAATCTCTTATCTTCATGAATTCGTAAGTTACAAACTTGTACAGGATTCTTTCCACTATATGTTAACTTTTTTACATAACTATCAATGTAACCACTGGTGACGTCAGTACGACTCATAATGCGAAAAATGTTTCGTCGCTCTACATGTAAGTCACTGTAAAAAAATCTGTGTATAGAAGTATAGCGCAGGTGATGGTTTTTGTCCTTACACATATCTTTGTTCTTTCCTTTCCTTTTCTTTTTACATAGAATGTGTCAGAAAAAAAAACAAGGATGGTGTCTTGCATCATCATGACGCAATTTTTCTCCTTTCCGATTTACCATGGGGTTCTGACGCATCAGTATAAACTTTTTTCACAGAAGTGTCACACTATTGAAATATACCCATGTGATGAAAATCGCCAAAAAATCAGCGATTTATCGCGATTTATCATGCCGATTAATTGTGCGATTATATCGCGATAAAATCGTCAGCTTAGGCGATTTTTAGCGATTTTTTGCCGATTTTTCCAAAAAAATCGCGATTATTCCGCGATTTTCCTCTAATCAATAAAGCTGATCCATTTCACTCCTGATCCTAACATTTGACTATTTTTTCTTTGTTTTCATATTACGATTTCTTGCTTGCATGAAATCTTTCTTTACTTTTATATAAATGTTTATTTTTACGGAAAATAAGAATAAATTAGCGAAATTTAAATCACAAAAAAATACACAGAAAATTTTTTTTATGGTACAAAAGCCATAATACGATCAAAAGAAAAAACAAACGAATAATAAGACTTAAAGCAAAAAAAAAATAATATTTGCAAAGTTCAAGTGACATTTATTATTTAATGTATCCATCCGTTTCATGTTCACTTTTGTTGGTCATTATTGATTCGACTTGGAGTTGGTTCTGTTGAAGTACTTGTAATGGATTCATCTAAGGCAACAAAAAAATAAAAGTCAGTAGATACTTTATAAAATGAAAATTTTTCAATTTTAACTTACTCGTTGCTGCTTGTAACTTTAATGTTCTCCCTCATTACGACAATTACTGAGAATAGAAACGTGTACGGCTGCCCAGTGACAAAAAGCCAGGTTATATCTGGTTTCGTGGTATTTTTATCGGATTTTTCTGCAACAAAATCTAACTATAATCGATTGAAATTTTCCAAATTACAAATAATCTGATTTTTACTCAAAACGAATTATTTGAAATCAAGGATACTTTAGATTTTAATCAAATTATATTGGATTTTAGTCAAAATTTTACTTGATTTCGAGAGGCCTTTTTTCAAGTAAAATTTTGATTAAAATTCAATATAATTTGATTAAAATCTAAAGTATCCTTGATTTCGAATAATTAGTTTTGGTTAAAAATCAGAATATTTGTAATTTGGAAAATTTCAATCGATTATAATTTAGATTTTGTTGCAGAAAAATCCGATAATATCACAAAACCAGATATAATCTGACTTTTTTTCACTGGATCGACAAACCATGGCCATGTCCTTCGTGGAAAGATTAAATTTTTGTCTAATAACATCTACAACAAACAAAATAACATGAAACTCGATACAACATTGTTTAGAAACCTTATTGATTACGTACCATATATAGCTTGAATTCATGGATCTTCATCCATCTTTCTAGAATCAAAATATTGTAAATCTTGTTTATCAATAAATAGTAAATATATTAAATTAGAGCATCTTCGACTGTATTTTCTTTTGTCCATATGTTATCAATAATTCAATGACAACACCATCACTTCGCGTATATGTTTAATATGAAAATCAAATCAAGAAAAAACCGAGAATCAGTAGGTACTCATAATATATGCGAATAGATGGTTTTAAAATATAGCTACTTACTAGTTCAGGATCAGTACCCTTGACATTTTCATTTTCATTATCATTTTCAAGAACGACTGGAATCTAGAAAATAAAATGGTTCTGTAGAGAAAGAATACATTAAGAAGAGTTCTTCTTACTTTGTATCGATCTAAAATCCTAGCAATTTTTTTTATTTGTAGATAAAATATTTAAGACTTTTTTTTATTTTTCTAACATCACTACTACCTGCTCTTGTTATTTCTGCAATTTTAGCAAGTTGACATTAACTTGTTTGATATGATTTAATATTTGTTGCAAATCCGTTTGTTGATATTCATCTTTTTCACCATCATGATCCATTGTAAAACGTAAACGTTTGGCTATTGGTATTTGTTTTGTTGTTTTGACATACGTTTTTTTTGAATTTGTAAACAATAGTAATTGTATAAAACTTAATGATACATCATATTGCGAATCATCTTCATCATCATGTAATTGTTAGTCAAAATCTTCATGTTCTCCATCATCTGAACTACATGAATCGTGATTAGATCCTTTGTGACCTTAAAACGTATAACAAAAAAATCGGTTAAATAGAAGCTGATTTTATTACCTTGAATACATATATATAAGTTTACGTTATTATCAACTAAATGAGAATCAGATGATAATAATAAGAGTGATGTTAGAAATGGTTCATACGTAACTATTGGTGTGTGACCTTTTTACAGAAGAGAAATCAGTAAAAGCTACACGATTTTTCCAAAATTACTAACCAAAGGCAACTAATTTTTAATGAAAATTCTTCTGATGCAGCAGCTAAAATCAAAACTAAACAACAACTATACATAATTTTAGTAGTGCCATTTATTTACTTTCTCGATTTTGTTTTCCTGATGACTTTTAAGTTGTTGTATAAGATTTTAATGATTTCTTTTTTCTTGAGTTGCTCTCCAATCTTCACAATCAAAAATACGTCTTCGTGCATTTTAGACTACATTGCTTTTCCAATAACTGAGCATACCTTTTCATGGAGTCTTGTGTACTTAAGTATATAAAACAATATACTCATATTAATCATTTACATCAGGATAGCTAGACAAGTTTGTTCTACACGAATATTATAAGATTTTCCAACCTCTTTAATTATATCAAAACCTCGATCATCTACGTTTGACAATCGTTTTGAATCAACTATACTGTATTTAAGTGGTTCATCAGGGTAGGCTATGCACGAATAAGTTTTTGTTTCTTTTGAAACAAGTTGTGTGAGATGAGACTGTTGACAAGTGTTGGATTTTGAAGACATTTAGAACAAAGAAAAAAGTACAAAAAATACAAGTATGTAGAAAGAGGAGAAGAAGAAAGCTTTCCGTTTTCATCTTTCACAAGGCAACAAAAATAAAATGATTTAATTTATAATAGAAAACAAAACACATAGTAAAACCTTTGATATTATAAACAACATGATCTACATAAAATGAAAGAAACATAAAATAAGGAAGAAATGAAAAACCACAAAATACTAATTCATATTTCATTTTACTTATCTGTTAATGCTACGAAATGCATGATAGCTGTAACAAAATCCAATGGTTATTCTTAATTATTCCAGCTTTTGGTAAAATGCTTTCAACATCATCAGGAAAAATAACAAGAGACAAAGAACAGAACATATATATATATATATATAGTCGGCTGATTACGACAAGAGAACAAAGAAAGAAAGGAGATATATATTCACGAATCCATATTTTCTTTCTTTGTTTCTTTGTTTTCTTGTCATAATCAGCTGACTATATGTATATATGTATGTTCTGTTCTTTGTCTCTTGTTATCTTTCCTGATGATGGTGAAAGCATTTTACCAAAAGCTGGAATAAATAAAAATAAGCATTGAATTTTGTTAAAAATTCTCATGTATTTCGTAGCAGACATTTACTCGTTTCTCTCTTCTTTTATATCTACTGCTCTGCCTAATGGATTTATCTGTTACTCTTAAGAAAAACGTAGATGTTGGCGTATTTTACATGCCATTATCAGACACAATGATTGAGAGTTAAATAGTCTATAGACTATGCTCTTCTTCATCTGCATCGATTTTTATAAACACTGCAATGCAAGAAAGAGAAAATAATTTTTTTTGCTTTTTGTTATTATAGTTGTTGCATTGCAGTGTATATAAAAATTAATAGAGACAAAAAAAGAACACAGTCTATCGTCAATTTCATTCTTATGCCCGAACAGACTAGACGAAATAATACTGAACTCAACAGCGTGATTGATTCGTTCATATTTAAATCATCTTTTAGAGATGACTTAATGGTTGATTCAATTTTATTTCGTCTAGTCTGTTCAATCCCTTATTCATTTTGTCTGATAATGACGTATAAAACACATCGAAAGTTTACATTTTCTTCTTATGAATATGAAAAAAAATGCTAAACGAGTTAGTTTTTCTGCCTTTTCATTACCTAATTACATTTCTTTTGACAATGTTTCTGCGAAAAGAAAAAGAAGAAAATAGTAATAATATTTAATCGTGTTTGCATTTCACATGCTTTTCACTAATACATTGATATTGTTGGAATGGTATCGATATAAATTTATTAACAATGCAACTAGCTGAAATGATAGCATATATTTCACTTTTCAAAAAGCACATAGGATAAAACAAATCGATTGTATCTTTTAATTCATCGAAAATTTCCAGAAAGTCGGAATTTTTAACAACAGCTCGATGATATTGTTGTATTAATAAATAGTGTATACTGTTGAATACAAAAAAGACTAATATCACCATAATAAATCTGTTGATGACTATCATTATACAATATTAAATAACTCATACAGGTATATCAATTACTATATAGAAATCATTGATAAATTGGAAATTAGTCTTTAAAACGTAAATATAATTTGATCATAGTAATATGGTCTTGTAATTCTTTTAATGGTTTTACCAATGTATCGCGATAAGCGTTCAATAAATGGCTATCAAGATTTATTTTATTTACTAGTAACAGCGATCACAGATTAAATTCTTTGCAAGATATAATTGTGTCAATATCACACCAGTAGCCTATTTGTGATCCAAGATTTGTTTGTTCCATGAGATTTATTTTTAATATGCCGAATTGTTGATTCAAAACAAAACGAAGATGTAGAAGCTAATCCACCATAGTCTAGAACAAAATACTCAACGATATCCAATAATTTTTCAAATAAGAACATTACCATACAAAGAAAAATGATGAAACTGATGGGAGAAAATATCGTCAATTGCTCAACACTTGTG